GTTAACAGTAAGCTGCCATTCATGGAAGTCTGCTCATGACAGTTACCTATGCTGACACTGAACTATTCTGATGACTGTGTGTGTAAAAAAAAAAAAAAAAAGACTGTCTACTTTCAAAATGGGGTCATTTGAGGGGTATTTGTACTTTCCTGGCATTTTAGGGCCTCATAAATCAGTATATCAGGACAGATCAATTTTCAGATATACAGTATATATCATAGTTTGTGGACTCTATAATGTTCATATAGACAAAATAATATACACTGAATTGGGATATTTTTTACCATAGAAATGTAGCAGAATACATTTTGGTCTAAATTTATAAAGAAAGATTGTTTGCAAAATTTTATAATAGAAACTAAGAAAAATTTTAGGTTTTCTTTTTTTTTCAAAATGTTCTGTATTTTTTTTGTTTTATAAGGAAAAAAATAAAAAACCCAGTGGTGATTACCACCAAAAGAAAGCTCTATTTGTGTGAAAAAAAAAACCATGCCATTTGTGTACAGTGTTGTGTGACAGCAATTGCCAGTTATAAAAGTGCAGTACTGAAAAAAATGCCCTGGCCATGAAGGGGGTAAAACCTTCCGGAGGTCAAATGGTTAAAGTGGTAGTAAAGATTAAAAAAAAAAAATTTTCCCCCTGCAAGGCCATATCATCATAATGTGCTAGTGTGCATTGCTTAGTAGCACATTATGAAAAAACTACCTTTTTAAAGTGGCAGTAAACCCACTTTTGTATCTTACCTACAGTTAAGCCTATAATAAAGTTTCCTGTAGGTAAGATGAATACAGTGAAGGAAATAAGTATTTGATCCCCTGCTGATTTTGAATGTTTGCCCACTCACAAAGAAATGATCAGTCTAAAAATCGAATGGTAGGTGTATTGTAACACTGAGAGACAGACATGCATTTCTTTTGAATTTTTTGTTGCTATTCTAACAAATTATGCACTGATTTGCATGTTGATGAGGGAAATATGTATTTGATCCCCTTCACAAAACATGACTTCGTACTTGGTGGCAAATCCCTTGTTGGCAATCACAGAGGTCAGACGTTTCCTGTAGTTGGCCACCAGGTTTGCACACATCTCAGGAGGGATTTTGGCCCACACCTCTTGGCAGATCCTCTCCAAGTCATTAAGGTTTGGTGGCTGACGTTTGCCAACTCGAATATTCAGCTCCCTGCACAGATTTTCAATCGGATTAAGGTCTGGAGACAGGGCCTTAATGTGCTTCTTCTTGAGCCACTCCTTTGTTGCCTTGGCCATGTGTTTTGGGTCATTGTCATGCTGGAACACCCATCCACGGTCCATTTTCAATGCCCTGGCTGAGGGAAGAAGGTTCTCACCCAAGATTTGATGGTACATTGCCCCGTCCATCATCCCTTTTAATGCGATGCAGTTGTCCTGTCCCCTTAGCAGAAAAACTCCCCCAAAGCAGAATGTTTCCACCACCATGTTTGACAGTTGGGATGGTGTTCTCGGGGTCATAGGCAGCATTCCTCCTCCTCCAAACACGGTGAGTTGAGTTGATGCCAAAAAGCTTGATTTTGGTCTTATCTGACCACAATGCTTTCAACCAGTCGTCCTCTGCATCATTCAGATGTACAGTGGCAAACTTCAGACGGACCTGGACATGTGCTTTCTTGAGCAGAGGGACCTTGCGGGTACTGCAGGATTTCAATCCTTGTCGGCGTAGTGTGTTACCAATTGTTTTCTTGGTGACTGTGGTCCCAGCTGCCTGGAGATCATTGACAAGATCCTCACGTGTAGTTCTGGGATGATTCCTCACTGTTCTCATGATCATTGACACTCCACGAGGTGAGATCTTGCATGGTGCACCAGACCTAGGGAGACTGACAGTGGTTTTGTGTTTCTTCCATTTGTGAATGATTGCACCAACTGCTGTCACCTTCTCACCAAGCTGCTTGGCGATAGTTTTGTAGCCCAGTCCAGCCTTGTGTAGGTCTATAATCTTGTCCCTGACATCCTTGGACAGCTCTTTGCCATGGTGGCGAGTTTGGAATCTGATTGTTTGATTGCTCCTGTGGACAGGTGTCTTTTATACAGGCAACAAAATGAGATTAACATCACTCCCTTTAAGAGACTGCTTCTAATCTCAGCTTGTTACCTGTATGAAAGACACCTGGTAGCCAGAAATCCTGCTGAATAATAGGGGATCCAATAATTATTTCCCTCATGAACATGCAAATCCGTGCATAATTTGTTAGAAATGCATTTCTTTTGAATTTTTTGTTGCTATTCTGCCTCTGTGTTAAAAAAAAAATGATCAGTCTAAAAATTGAATGGTAGGTGTATTGTGAGTGGACAAACATTCAAAATCAGCAGGGGATCAAATACTTATTTCCTTTACTGTATATAGCACCATCAATTTACACAGCGCTTTATATATATATTGCACATTCACATCAGTCCCTGAGCCTCAAGAGGCATACAATCTAAGGTCCCTAACCCACATTCGTACATACACATACTAGGGCCAAGTTAGACAGAAGGCAATTAACCTATCAGCATGTCTTTGGAGAGTGGGAGGAAACTGGAGTACCTGGAGGAAACCCACACAGGCACAAGGAGAACATGCAAACTCCAGGCAGGTGGTGCTGTGGTTGGGATTTAGAACCAACGACCCTAGTACTGCCAGGCGGAAGTGCTAACCATTTAGCCACTGTGCTGCCCCTTGTTTAGAAGATATTCATTTTAGCCTCAGGTAAACTTCTTCTCTCGGGCTGTCTGACTGACCAAGCTGAGTTGATGTCACAGCCCAAAGCTCTGAAGGAACTTCACAGGTATGCTGTTCCTTGAGTGTGCATGCACGGTGATATCGGCTGCTGCATGATGGAATATTCCCTAAAAGTTATTAGTTCAGCAGATACTTATTTTACCTACAGCTTTATTATAAGTTTACCTGTAGGTAAAAAAATCACAAAAACGAGTTTGCTACCACTTTATTATTTCATACTTTTTAGATGTTCCTGAGGTGAAGGCCTCATGACTAGACACACTGGGGCTGGAGCACTCAGAATCTGGTGCAGCTGTGCATGGTAGCCAATCAGCTTCTGATCTCAGCTTGTTCAATTCGTCCTCATGCATACTTCACTTTTTTACAGTGGCTGTTTTTGGCTTTTCACCTTTTTCTACAGCCAGTAACCAGTGCCCCCCCCCCCCCCCCCCCCCAGCATGTTATCCTATGTGGCCATGCACACATAGAGTGTAATCTGCGTTTTTTTGGCGGAAAAAAACCCCCAGAACTAGTGGGTATCTAGAGGCGTTTTTTAGCTGTAAAAAACGCTCTAATGGTGGTAAACCCAGTAACGTGGCAAATTGGCATTTTAAGCATTTTTTGAGCCAAAATGTTTTTTTTTTTCTTGTGTAAAAAATGCTAAAAACGCTAACCTGTAAAAATGCAGCTAAACGCTAATGCAAAAATGCTAAAAGAAAAGCGGAAAATCTTGCGTTTTTAACCATTTGCCTACTGGGCTTGTTCACTTGACTAATTTCTAACTCTTGCCGAACTCCCCTATAGCGTCTGACAGGCATTTGGGAAGTGTTTTTAACGCTCCTCAAACGCCCTATGCACGTTTTTGAGTTTGCCAAGCATTTAAAACTGCACCACAAATGCCTATAATGAAGTTTAATGGTATTAATGCTCTGCAAATGCCTTCCAGGCGTTTGAGGAGCGCCACCATAGACTTGAATGGGAAGCTTCAACTCTTCCTGACTCGATGTGAGGCTTCAATTTTGCTGCGACGCTGACGCTTCTGTGTTAACAACACTACTATGTGCTGCCATGTGTAGAATTGTGTAGAGTGTTAAAAATGCTTCTCGAACTTAGCCTTACTACAAAAAATCCGGTAAATCGCGTTTTTGGTCCCTTTTTTGAGATGAAAAAAACTTTTTTTTCGGTAAAAAAACACTAAAAAATGCAAACGTGGAAACAATTTGGCAAAACGACACTAAACACTATTGCAGAAATGCTAAGAAGGCTTGCATTTTTAACATGACTTTACACCAGCGTTATTAATACGCCCAGTGTGCATGGAGCCTTCAAGTGTTACTAAACCCAGGACCCTGCATTCACTATATCTGGTCTCCCACAGTACACACAACATGGAAATACAATTATTTTAATAAATATAAACTGCTAAATACCTTTTCTCATCAGTAATTAGAGCAGTCTTGTGACTTCTATCAGTGTTCAGCCAAGCACATGCTAAAGTTTGTAGGAGGAGTTTTCCTTCTGTTCTAGGAGGATGCAGGACCCCTGACCTCTGTCTGGACAGTGCTGATTGGCCCTGTGCTGATCCCATGCACTCTCCCAAGAAAAAAAAAACCTCTCTAGCAATACACACCAAACTGAGCATGTGCAGAGTGACTTCACACAATGGGGTCGATTTACTAAAGGCAATTAGACTGTGCACTTTGCAAAGTACAATTGCACTCTGCAAGGGCAGTTGCTCCAGAGCTTAGTAAATTATTATTATACAGGATTTATATAGCGCCCACAGTTTACGCAGCAGCACTTTACACCAAAAGGGCAGACAGTACAATTACAATACACATTAATACAGGAGGATTCAGAGCTCGTTAGAGCTTACAATCTGAGCAGAAGCTCTGCTGACTTCCATCATCCAATTATGCTATTTTTTTTTTTTTTAAATCTTCCTTGCATGTGATTGGGTATTCTTGGAAGGAAAGCTGTACCTCATTTACTAAGCACTGGAGCAACTGCACTTGCAGAATGCAACTGCACTTTGTAAAGTGCACAGTCTATTTGCCTTTAGTAAATCAACCCCAATATGTCTTATCAGGAGATAAGACGGGGACACTGGAAGAAGGGGAGGATCATAGAAGACAGGATCAGACAGCGGTTTTACACAATGGAGAGGATTAACCCCTTAAGTTTCACAGTGAGTATAACAAGCATGCTTTACTGCATATACAGACTGATTTTACTGTTGTGGGCAGGGGCGGACTGACAACTCATGGGGCCCCCGGGCAATAGGGGATCATGGGGCCCCTGTGTCCTTGCCCAAACTCAAAAAAAACCTATGAAAAAGGTACCAGGAGCATCTCATGGGGCCCTCTACTGACCCCGGGCTCTTGGGCAGTGCCTGAGTTTCCAAATGGTCAGTCTGCCCCTGGTTGTGGGTTTAGTAACACTTTAAGCTTTAGCAATAAAACCTGTAAACTGAAGTTTTAAGTGTTTCAATACAGGAAAGTATATTCTCCTACCTCAGTCTTTACAATAAACAATATTGCATCCGCGCCTACCATAGTAGCACACATACTTCTGATATTTTTTTTTATTTTTGTAAATTATCAAATTAGTGCCCTTCTGCTGAATGGTATAAATGTAGGAATGGTGTGCTCAGCTCCATATTTTTTTCTTTTTCTTTTTTTTTTGCAATGGCATTGGATGTTTTAAAGTGATTAAAATCTGATTGGTACTGAATTTAACATTTTAACATAACAACTGGAAAAAAAAAAGTTGTACATCACTATAGCTGGAAGACTTTGACTTTGCTGATTGCCAAACTCCACTTCCTCCCTGCCACAGGAATGTCTTCTCCCATATTAGGAAGTTGGCTGTAACTTTCTAATCTCTTGTGGTTTGTGTTTGAATTCCAGTCTCCGAGCTCCCTCCCCAGACTTTGTAAACTGCAATGCAGGGTTACAGGGAAGCCTGCAAGAAGAGTAGTGGGAGCTGTCTACCACTATGTAATACATGACTACAATCTTCCACCCCTCCTTACTCCATTCTGCAAGTAATCAAATCTGTACATATAGAACAACGCTGATCCAAAAGATAAAATATATCAAAAAATATAAAGAATAATCCCCTGGAGAAAAATTTGTGCAAGAAACTGATAGTATTATTATTATACAGTATTTATAAAGCGCCAATAGTTCGCTCAGCGCTGTACATTACAAAGGGGGACAGAACATGTGACAGAACAATACCAATACAATGCAAAGCATGAGGGGATTGAGGGCCCTGCTCTTTCGAGTTACAATCTAGGAGGGAGGGGATGGTGGCACAGGAGGAGATAGCTGTGGGGGATGGAGTGGTAGGAAGAATGGAGGAGGTCAGCAAGTTAGCAGGGGGTGGGGTAGGCTTCCCTGAAGAGATGGGTTTTCAGGGTGCGCCTAAAGGAGAGGAGAGTAGGCGATAATCTGATGGGTTGGGGCAGGGCGTTCCAGAGGATGGGTGACACCCTGGAGAAGTCCTGGAGGCAGGCATGGGAGGAGGAGACCAGGGAACTAGAGAGAGATATAATGTAACAAACCCTCCTATACCTCCAATTCGCTTAGAATATAATGCAATATAATCTGTGGCTAATATATAACATTCTTCCTCGTCACGTGTAAATATATGAAACAATATTATAAATTATAACGTTATTAGTGCAATCAAATAAATAAAGTGCAAGAGATGTGTCCACTAAATGACTATAGATGTAATCGCAACATCACAAAGTCCAACATTACTCCTTGTGTAAATCCAATCCGTGAAGTTCCACAATAGTAAAGTGCTATTTGTTGTGCAGATTCCACTAGGCCAATGACACCATTAAGAAAATGTGCTCTATCCACCACCAGATAAATTGGATAAACTCACCAGAGTGATATGCTGGTGAAATTATAGACCAGCATAAGCGCTTGTTGCTCTGACAGTGACAATCTGCAAAGCAGACTGAGCACATTGTCGTGGTGGTGTCATTGGCCTAGTGGAATCTGCACAACAAATAGCACTTTACTATTGAGGAACTTCACGGATTGGATGTACACAAGGAGTTATGTTGGGTTTGTGATGATGCGATTATGTCTATAGTCATTTAATGGACACATCTCTTGCACTTTATTTATTTGATTGCACTAATCACTTTATAATTTATAATATTGTTTCATATATTTACATGTGATGAGAAAGGAACGTTATTGTATTAGCCACAGATTATATTGCATTATATTATATGTGAATTGGAGGTATAGGAGGGTTTGTTATATCAGTTTTTTTACACAATTTTTTTCACAAGGGGATTTTTCTATATATTTTTTGTATATTTTCTAGACATTTCATCTTTTGGATCGGATATTAGTGAGCTGTGCTGTTCTATATGTACAGATTTGTTTAACACCTTCCTGCCCGGCCTATAGTAGATTGACAGCCATGCGGGACACTTGCCATTGTGACTGGGCGTCACGTGACATCCTGTCAAAATCGAGCCACTCACGTGGCCGCAGAGCCTGTCACTGGCTGTGTCAACGGGACACAGCCGATGACATATCACTACACCGGCCCATTGCCAATGTCTTGTGACCAGCAGATCACATGTAAATTGTATACAGTGGATGGCTTCCTGTGATGCCATCCATTGTATACAATTATGTTGTTAGCTGTGACTGGTCAAGGCAGTCACATGATAAAGACAGGGCCAAATCACAGCCCATCTGTATCATATGATCAGCTTTGCCCAATCAAAGCTAATCACAAAAGACTGAATCAATCAGTTTCATTCAGTAAAAATGATTGCAAATATCAATGAAAAACATTGGTATTAGCAATCATAATGTGTTAAAAAAAATAAAAATAAAATCCTGATCACTTGCCCAGAGTAGTTCAGTGTTACTATGGTAACATTGTATTGCTTTGGTCACAGTGTGCTAAAAATTAAATAAATAAAAAAAATATAGAAACATTTGAAAAAAAAATCAATTATTTATTATTATTTATTATTATTATTATTATTTTCACCAAAGGTAGCAGAATACAATTTGACCTAAATTTATGAAGAAATGTTATTTATTTGCAAAATTTTATAACAGAAACAAAAAAAGTGTGTGTGTTTTTTTTTTTTGTTTTTTGTTTTTTTTTTCCAAAAGTTTCAGTGTTTTTTGTTTTTTTTTAAGCAAAAAAATTAAAAACTCAGTGGTGATTAAATACCACCAAAAGCGAGCTCTATTTGTGTGAAAAAAATGATAATGTCATATGGGTACAAAGTTGCATGACCACGCAATTGTCATTCAAAGTGCGACAGCTGAAAATTGGCCTGGGCAGGAAGGGAGTATAAGTGCCCGTTTTGAAGTGGTTAATGAATGGGATTCCATTAAGAATGGCAGCTACCTGTTGAGTTTTTTTTCTTTGTGAGTGGTGTAGGGGCCCAGAGCGCAGTCCTACATATTATATTAATTCTGCAAGTAATAACTGCTTGTAAGCTGCTGTGTACAGTAAGGGGCACGCACTGTATGTCATCATCTAGTCCACTTTTCAAACCTTGCATTCATCTTCAAGCCGGAGATCTGGATACATGACTATATTTTCTATGTTTGCTTGCTTATAGACAAATAAAAAAAAAATAATACAAGTAAATTTACAATACTTGAAGCTTTACATAAATAGCAGAACACAAAGGATGAAAGGTTTAATAATAAAACCGTTGAGTACCTGAGAATGCTGTGTTAAGGTGTTACTAAACCCACATCAGTAAAATCAGTCTCTATATGCCGTAAAGCATGCTTGTTATACTCACTGTGGAACCTAAGGGGTTGATCCTCTGCTTTGTGTAAAAAGGCTGTTTGATCCTGACTTCTTTGCCCCTCCTTTTGTTCAAATGTCAGCGCTGATAAGACAGACTGAACCCGTAGCCTTTTTGCACCTACTCAGTTTAGTGTGTATTGCTAGAGTTTTTTTTTTTTTCTTGGGAGAGTACATGTGATCAGCACAGGGCCAATGAGCAGTGTCCAGACAGAAGGTCAGGGGTCATGCAGCCTCACAGGACATTCAGAGCAGAATGAAAACTCCTCCTACAAGCTTTAACGTGCTCTGCTGAAGACACAAGACTGCTATATACTGCTGATGAGAAATGGTATTTAGCAGTTTATATTTACTAAAATAAATGCATTTCCATGTTGTGTGTACTGTGGGAGACCAGATATAGTGAATGCAAGGTCTTGGGTTTAGTAACACTTTAAGCAGAAGTGGAACCTAAATGGTTTTTTCCTTGTGAAGAAGTAGTGGTCAGTTGCAGTTACATCTGATGTGTACATTTTTAAATTAATCTTCATTTTACGCATTGTTATAGTTCTTACACTTTGCAGTATTACACAGAGAGCACCAAACCCTTTGTATCAGTTCCTGGTGCACAATGGAGCTTACATCCTTTATTTTAGACATGTAATTACACAGATCCTAACAGATATTATTTGACTGGGAAAATATGGGGAAGCTCACCACAATTATATCAGTTTTTCCCCAAAACAGCTCAGTGAAGTTTGTTGGTATGGGCATCACCAGTGTAAAATGATCTTCACTGGAAAATGCAGCACAATGTACAAAAAATGACTATATAATATTACAGGGAGTTCCAGAGGAATGGGTTACACCCTGGAGAAGTCCTGGAGGCGGGCATGGGAGGAGGAGACCAGGGAACTAGAGAGAAGGAGGTCTTGTGAGGAGCGGAGTGTGCGTGCTGGGCGGTACTTGGATATTAGGTCAGAGATGTAGTACGGGGCAGTATCGGTGTGACAGCTTTGTACGTCAGCGTTAGGATTTTGAATTTGATCCGTTGCGCAATCGGAAGCCAGTGGAGGGATTGCAGAGGGGGTGGCGGAGACAGAGCGGTTGGAAAGGTGAATGAGTCCTGGCAGCCGTGTTCAGGATGGACTGAAGAGGGGATAGCCAGCGGCGATGCAGGCAGTGAGGAGGGAGTTGCAGTAGTCGAGTCGTGATATGATGAGGGAGTGGATGAGCCTGTTTAGTGGTTTCTGGGTTAGGAACGTGCGGATTTTGGCGATGTTGCGGAGGTGGAGTCTGCACGAGTTTGTTAAAGATTGGACTTGGGGCTGGAAGGATAGGTTGGAGACCAGAATGACACCAGTACTCTGGCCTGCAGGGCGGGTTATTGATGGTAAAAATAAAAAACGTTGTTGGATGTGGACTGAGAATCAATGGGGGGTGGTCCGGGCTGGGGGGAAGACAAGAAACTTGGTTTTGGAGAGGTTCAATTTAAGGAAGTGGAGCGACATCCAGTCTGATATGTCGCTCATAGGTTGTCTGTGATTCGTCTGAGACCAAGGGGGTGAGGTGGGGGGTTGAGAGATAGATGTGTGTGTCGTCGGCATAGAGGTGGTAGTTGAAGCC